ACATGGATCATAATTTGGAAAGTGTTGACTTAAGATGTTACCTTTTTTTTTGTGCAAAAAGATGTTACCTATACAGTATAAATACTGAACAAGTTTGATTGAAATAGTTATCAACATATACTTGGATATTTTCCAGGATTAAAAAAAAAAAAAGTTTAGACGAATTATGGGTTCTCTTGAGACATGCTTACTTTTCTTTGTAATGGTTATGTTTATGAGTGCAACTATGTCTCGAGCCTCGACGAGTGTAGTGATTTATAATGATCTTGGAGGTGGTTTGCCACTACGGCACCACTGCAAATCAAGAGAGGATGATCTTGGATACCAGAGTTTAGCACCAGGTAGATCGTGGTCGTTTGGATTTACACCGGATATTTTTGGCCGGACTTTGTTTTACTGTCGTTTTAGTTGGGGAGCTGAGAGTCATATATTTGATATCTACAAACAGAGTAGAGACAAAGAATTTCAAGAGTTTGGTTGCAAAAAATGCGAATGGAAAATACGGAAAAATGGACCTTGCAAGTTTTATAAGAAGACCGGCATGTTTGATCATTGCTATTCTTGGGATTAATATCCTTATTTTATAAAACATGTCGTAACTATCAATCTATGTCTGTCTACTTCTTCTTCTACCTTTTTTTTTTCTTTTTTGTATGAGGTAATTGTGTCTTAATATGATATTTTATGGTTTGACCTACAATTCGTTTTCTTTTTTTTTTTACTTGTTAATGACACAATTATAGTCAAATAATTTTAGAGCGAAGTAACAAAACATTATAAGAATATAATGTGAACTACAATGAGCTTTTCTTTTATGCTTAACGTTCATTTTTTAACAAAAAAAAAGAATTATAAATAAATAGAGAACAAGTGTTGATCGAAAGAACAACTATGTAAATTATACATTTGTGCTTAACTAAACGCATATCGATTAGAGTCCCATTTCATGACCCCGAAACTCAATGAGTCAAACGTAGTGCACAATCTAGTGTAATTTAAAACCAGAAAAAAAAAAAAAAAAACTAGTATAATTCGACATAACCAAATGGCATAGTTAAACGCATGTTGGTGAATGGAGGAAACTAAACCCGCGTGGGAAGGCTTTTCTCGAGTAGTGGAAGTGAAATATTATCTTAAAACATATACTTTCAATGACATAAATTGGTGAAGATTTACTCCCATAAGTGAAATGCATTACATCTAGAAACTTATCTCTTTTATATTTATTTCCGATTTAGCAAAAGAAGTAAGTAGAAAGTCTATTGAGTCAAACCCAAATTTTAAAAAAAATAATGCAAAGAACTTGCATATAAATATTTTACATTATAATTTGTATTAAATTTTGATTTAGTAAACATATATAACAAAATTTTCATCTTTCTTTTAATAATATAGTTTTTAGTGTGTTAGATTTTTTTTTTTTTAATTTGGGCAACACAACAGTTGTGTAATAGTATAGGCAAAGAAAATGGTCGGACAGCTAAGGGAAGATCGCTCTCTCCTCATCAGACAAAAAATTACAAGCGAGAATTTCTTTGTTCCTTTACGACCGGACAAGACACGTCCGTCATCGTCTTCTACTACTTTCTATCTTACGCCTCTCCCCTTATCCTACGCCAAAACATCTTATCCTGCGCATCATCCCTTCCATTAAGACCTAGGGTTTTCTCTCTCTCCCATCATTCTCTTCTCCCGATCTCATTTCCATTACCCAATCCCGCTCCTTTTCTCTGATTTTGAATCGAACCCTTAATACCCAGAAATCTCACGGTTCCGAGGAGTGGGTTTTTGGGGGTTAGGGTTTTCGAGAGATGTTGAATGTCAGGTTCATTGATGAATCTGTTTTCTCTCTGCTTCAAGCCATTCGGGCACGTCTGTGATAATTCCGAAGCTGGATCGGGTGGTGGTGGTGGCGTTTCTGGTGGAACCGGCGGTGAAGGCAAAGACGGATTGCTTTGGTTCCGTGATCTCGGTAAATATTGCGGCGGAGATTTCTCCATGGCGGTGATTCAAGCCAATCAGGTTCTTGAAGATCAGAGCCAGGTCGAATCCGGTAATTTTGGGACTTTTGTTGGTGTTTACGATGGTCATGGTGGTCCTGAAGCTGCTCGTTATGTCTGTGATCATCTCTTTAACCATTTTCGAGGTTCGTAATCCGATTCTTCATTGACACAGTGATTCGTCATTTTGACATTCGAGCTTGAGTGTTTTGAATTGGTTTTTTGGGGAAATACATATTTTAGATGAATCCGTTGACTTAATTCTGAACTTTTTGTTCAAATCTTGGTGATGAAGATGGTGATTGGTCAACAAAGTTAGGTACTTTGACTTTTTAATCTCGTTGGGGTATAATTAGGTTCCCATTAAGCTAAATGCAAGTTTAGAGCTACAGTCTTTGCATTTAAAAACTGTGTTTATTGACTTCAGAAATAGTAAAACTTTAGATATGAGTATGCTCTTTGATATATAGGAGTATTTGTAATGCAGTTTGATATATAGGAGGACTCTTTGCATTTCGCATTCCTGGTTCTTTGAGATTGTTCTTTGCCATTTAGATAAGGGTCCCTGGCTTTTGCATTGATGGTGGAGTGTCATGAATATTACCAGGCTTAAGCAAACTAGGAGTGCACTGTAATTATGAAAGGAGGTTGAGCCTCTCTTATGTTTTGATTGCTCAGGCTTTATGGTTATGCAGAAATATCAGCGGAAACACAAGGAGTTGTGACGAGAGAGACGATAGAAAGAGCCTTTCATGCGACAGAAGAAGGATTCGCTTCCATTGTGTCAGAGCTGTGGCAAGAAATACCAAATTTGGCAACTGTTGGCACTTGTTGTTTGGTTGGAGTGATATATCAAAATACTCTTTTTGTGGCAAGTCTTGGAGATTCACGGGTTGTTCTTGGAAAGAAAGGCAACTGTGGCGGACTCTCTGCTATTCAGCTGTCGACTGAACACAATGCTAACAATGAAGATATTCGTTGGGAACTCAAGGACTTACATCCTGATGACCCGCAGATCGTTGTGTTCAGGCATGGAGTTTGGAGAGTTAAGGGCATCATTCAGGTAGTTTCTCATTCTCCTGCCATCCCTTGTGATGTTAATTTTCCAAAAGAAAAATGTAAAATTAGTCACTTAGACATAACTAGGTTCCTTGTTGTGTTAACTCTCTTTGGTTTCGCAAACTTTGACATATCTACCTTATGCTTGTTTCGGAAGAGCTAAATCATTTTTCTTCTCTCTTTTTTAGTCTTTGAGCGGTTTGGCCTTTCTTATAAGCTATAGAAAAGTTCATTAGAGGTCTGAGAAGTACAAATCTTTAAAAAGTTTTGAGAATTAGCAAGTAATGAGGTAGTGCATAAGCAGAATTAGCAAGTAATGGGTTTCTGATGAACTCCATACATATGTACTGAACAAGCTAAATATATGTCTTACGCTCTTTGTGATGTCTAGTTACCAATAATTAATCATCTCTACCATGCAGCTCTTAAGACTTTCTGATGATTCCCTGTATTTACTGTTCAACTTTGATTCGCTGTTTATATAGGTATCGAGGTCTATAGGAGACATGTACATGAAACGGCCCGAATTTAACAAGGAGCCAATCAGTCAAAAGTTCAGAATTGCAGAGCCAATGAAAAGACCCTTGATGTCTGCAACACCAACAATACTCTCTCATCCTCTGCACCCTAATGATTCGTTTCTCATTTTTGCATCTGATGGTCTTTGGGAGCATTTGACTAACGAAAAAGCAGTTGAGATTGTTCATAACCATCCCCGTGCTGTAAGTTTCTACTTTGATTTCTCTCTTAGATGGCGTTTTTGGTCTAGATAAGTTTTAGATTGCAGTTTTAAGCGAGTCAAGTCACAAGAATCCTCATTATTACAAATTCGTTAAATATATAAATGATTTCTTGCATTGTGTGTTTCTCTCTATGTTCAGGGAAGCGCAAAGAGACTGATAAAGGCGGCTCTTCACGAGGCAGCGAGGAAACGTGAGATGAGATATTCAGATCTAAGGAAGATTGACAAGAAAGTGAGACGACATTTTCATGATGACATCACGGTTATAGTGGTGTTCTTGAACCATGACCTCATATCGAGAGGCCACATCAACTCAACCCAAGACACAACAGTCTCTATACGGAGTGCTCTTGAACACTGAGAATCCCAAACATTTTACAACAATGTTTCTTCTTACTTGATTATATGACTTTTGCCTAGAATGAATAAAAAAAAGGCAACATATGGAAAAAACCAAAAATGAAAAAAACAACATCATTATCGTACGTAATGAGTTCTCTCTTGTATTAAGCGGCTATGTTTGACTTTTGGTGTTTCTCTTCAAAGTTCTGATGAGTTCCAAGTCTTTTACTTCTTGCCGTTCGTCAAAAGTATGTAATGTAACATAGCCGTGTAACCATACTATTCTCGAATGTAACATCAAGTCTCTAATCAAAATTGTTTTGGTAACTTATAATTATTCTTCATTCCCGAACAGTGGTTATTCTTCAACATTTCTAGGTTTAACTTTATTGATCAAAAAAGATTTTAAGATGCTCTTGGATTACTGTTTCGATATTTATGTGCCACAGTTGTCAACTCTTCATACTATCTCAAATTTGCGGTTTCGGTGACATACTTAATTTTCGTACGGATTTGATTTGGAGAACAAAGTCGTGGAGCAACGTTTGGCTTCAACATTTTACTTATGCAAGACTTAAATGTTAGTTCTGATTAAATGGATTCATGGACCTTTTCTAAAAAATATCAAATACAATTCCATAAATCTATAAAGTTCTTGTTAATACTAAAACCTTTGAGAGTACTAATGAAAGAAAAATCAGATTAAGCTTTCTAGGCTGCATTATGCATCAAAAAGAAGTTGAATGTCAATCAACAACTCAGAGCCCAGTGCATATTCATCATCTTTTCCTTCTTAGCCCCTCAACAATTATTCTAGCCAGATCAAAAAATTGAAACAGATACAAAAAATTATAAGGATCCTCAGAGTAAAAATGCTTATAGCTTTTCATCAATAAAAATCAGGTCTCAAAGATTTCATGCCATCATCGGATCCTTTAATAAGCTTTTTTAAAAAAGAAACGATAACTGACTAGGATATAGCACGAGCTTATTCGCTATGCCCGGTTAAAACATAGACGAAGCGACTCAACGCCCCTGCAATAATCTATCGCCTCACGAATAAAATCGATGACAGAATCATCCCGTAGATATTGAATACTCTACAGGAAATTCAATCTGAGAGGCGAATCCAATCAGCTACAAAACGATTCTAAAAGATCATATACAAACATAGTAAAAACACAGCAAACTAAACCTAGCTTAAGAGAGATCGAATGTTTTAGGCATCGCCGGAAGTGTTGGTTTATATACATACTTATGAATTTAGGTCTTAGGGTTTTTTCTGCCGCAAACATCAAACATAATGGGCCTTCATACTAGACTAATGGGCTTTTCTTCTTTTATTATAAGCCTGCCTCAGAGAAAACGCATAACCCAGTTGGCAAATAATCTTTGGCCCGTGTCTTTTTCAAACATCATTCATTCATTTCTTATAATGCTTTCTGATTTTAAAACTCTTGACACTTTGAACAGAATATGGATTCTTGTTATTTGCATCAAACATTATCTATGGATGTTAAAATCCTATTATCTTCAGATCAAATCCAAAACCAAAACTATACAAACAAATGTAAGAATGAAAATAAGTTTCTTTTTAAAAACAACAAGTGTTACAGCTACATTATAAGTCTGAATTATAAAATCTTACAAATATTAGTAATTTTTGATTAAACATAAAACAAAACTTTTTATTATCGTAGCTAACAATCAAAGTTTTTTTTTTTTTTTTTTAAGACAGACGCTAATTCGCACTACTACACAAATCAATAGTTTTAGAAAAAAAAGAAAAAAAGAGAGAGATGATCATAAAATAAGGAAAAGGAAGAAAAGGATAACAATAATTAATTCTAACAGGATAGTGCACATCACATGGCAGAAGTAGGACAGTAATTTGTTTTTGGTTACATGTGTATAAAAATGCGATTCTTTGCTTCATTCCTCTTTGTTAAAATAAAATAAAATAAAAATAAAGGAAGAAGAAGAAGAAGAAGAAGAAGAAGAAAGGATTCGTCTTCCTTCTTCCACACCCTTTCTGACACCTCATCTCCCCTCCCACCTTCTCCGTCCCGTTCCGTTTCTCCATCAGGTAATTATTAATCTCCTCTTAATCATCCCTCTAATCTCTTTCCCGTTTCTTCATCTCCCGATTCTCAATTCCATCTACACAGATCCTCGATTCCGATCCAACAGTTCGAATTCAGTTTCCGATTCTGATCTGATCGAACCAATACTCACTGAGATTTGATCGGCGATTATGGAGTCTATATCTCCGGTATCGAATCAGCTTCTTCAGCCGACGACGACGAGCTCTAATTCCGATCGCTCTCGTCGTAAGCGTAAGAAGAAATCATCGCCATCATCGGTTGAGAAATCTCCATCTCCGTCAATATCGTTGGAGAAATGGAGATCGGAGAAGCAGCAACAGATCTACTCAACGAAGCTAGTTCATGCTTTAAGAGAGCTACGAATCAGCCAACAACCATCTTCATCATCATCTTCTTCGATTCCACGTGGAGGTAGAGCCGTACGTGAAGTCGCCGATAGAGCTTTAGCAGTTGCGGCGAGAGGTAAAACGTTATGGAGTCGAGCGATACTTTCAAAAGCTGTAAAACTCAAATTCAGGAAACACAAACGCCAGAGAATCTCTAATCCGACGACGACGACGTTAACCACCGGGAGTATCAGGTCAAAGAAACAGAGAGCGACGGTTTTGAGGCTTAAGGCTAAAGGTTTGCCAGCTGTACAGAGGAAAGTGAAAGTACTGAGCCGGTTAGTTCCCGGTTGCCGTAAACAATCATTACCGGTGGTTTTAGAAGAAACCACTGATTATATAGCTGCGATGGAGATGCAGATTCGTACTATGACTGCGATTCTCTCCGCCGTTAGTTCTTCTCCTCCGCCGCCAACGCCAGGTCACGAAGGGGGACAAACACACATGCTTGGTTAGTTGGCCAAACTGTCCTTTTATTTTTTTCCAATTTTAAAAACCAAAAAAAAAACTGTTTTTTTTATCATATTATTATTCTTCTCACTGTATTGTTTGTTGTTTGAATATTTTACTATTCAACTTTATTTACCATTTCGTCATGTATATCCTTTTTTCTTGAATCTCTCTATTACCAAAAAAATTAGTGCCAAGAAGAAGAAACAGGACAGTGATTAATTTATGTATAATCGTAATAAATTTCAGTTTCTTGATAATCGTGGAAGCACATTTGAGAGATTGTGATTTAGTTTGTTGTTTTTGCAATACTTGTTGATTAAGATAACAACTGTGGACATAATGACAAATTTGTTTTTAAAGTGTTTGGTGAATTAATGATATGGCAAAATGAAACAATGGAGAGTATAATTAGTTTTTGTTTTGTTATGTTTGAAGTTAGGTTGGTGATTGGAACTGAGTTCTCTAGATCTGTTATGACAACATTTATTTTCTTCTTCTGTAAATGGTATTGGGGTTTATTTTGGTATGTGGTTAGATTTTGACGATGCAAAAAAACAAGTTAAAAAAGCGAAAAAAATCTAGAGAGTTAACACAATCACATGGTTGAGAAAGACATGAACATGGTGACTCACATGATTCATTTCTGCACATAGGGTATATAATCGACCACTGACCAGTGTTTTTTTTACTTATGGTTGATTCTTTTACTAGTACAAAACTACTCGGATACACGAAAAAGGTGAATAAAAAAAGGCACTAAAAATCTTCTTCTTTGTTTTTGGTCGGCCAAAAGGCACTGATTTTGGTGAAACTGTTAGTATTTTGGAGGAATAGTAATACCCCCCAAAAAAAAAGGAAATTCATGACACATAATGTTTTCTGACACATGTCATGTGGTTTTTACATTATCTCCAACTTTCTCAATACTTGTACAAAACCCTTAAACCCCACCAACACTTATATTTTTGTTGCACATGTGATGCATTCAATTGGGTAGACAATGAAAATCTTTCAATAGATATACTTCAGAAGAGATGTATAGTAGAGATTTGGGGTTAACTACTCCAACTTGACAGTTCCATTTTATTACATCTAAAGAAAACAAAGAAGAAAAGGTCTGAAGAATTTTTGGTTTAATCTTAAATTGAGTATTTAATAACATAATAAGACCAACTTTCATTTTATTTTTTCAAGCGTGATTTTGAATAGCATTCAAAATCTGCAAATTGAGTATTTAATAGCATAATTATCCTACAATGTGCGTATAATAGCCTAAAATATTGCGTTGCTCGAGGAGAGTATTCAAATGACAACTTGTTTTTGGTTTAATGTTAAATTGATGTAGTCTTGATTTTACGAGGGAAAGGACAATTATGTGTCCGTGAAAATAAATTTTGTCCACTAAAAAGAAGGAAAATGAAAAAGAGAAGAGCACATGGATTAAATGATTTTGGCGTAGTCATAGACTCTTATTGTGAATAATGTCACTACGAGCTTTAAGCTGCTTTTTGTTAACCTCTTTAATTTGATTGTCAATAAAGACTATTTATTGGTCTTATTCCAATCACTTTTTTATTTTGTCAACTATTTAAGTCACTTAGTTGTCGGTTTAGATACACTGTACACATTTTCAATGATCGTTAACTTAGCTGGAACTGTTAAGTGTTAACTATGAAAGCACTACGTACAAATAAGAAAACTACATAAACTAACTCCTGATGGTTGAGCAAACTGTATCAATTTATGGCATGAATGGTGCACTTAGTTATTGAAGCATTTTTTTTCCTAGGATCAACCGATCGAACTTTTTAAGTTCCATATGATGCAAATTAAATAAACTGTAACGTTTTAAGTTTTAACGAAATGGTGCATTTTGAAAGTTTCTTTGTTTAATACCGAGCGCACAAAATTGAACCAGACGTTAAATATCTTCGTGCACACAACACAATAATCAGATGGTCCATGTTAAAGCATGGATTTAGTCATTTAGACACTTAAGCTAATTGATAAGGATGTCTTCTACTTCTATATAAATGCGAAATAGATACACAACAATCGTGGTATATATATAAATTAACTAATCAAGATTGTTCTAGTTCCGCCATGACGGGCAGCCTGTCGTGTGCCGCTGTCCGAACCATACACAAGCCACTGACCATTCTTATTCGCACGTGGGGTACATAACCTGTTGGACCACACGTGTGCTCTCAGATTATCTACTTCAAAAAAAAAAAAAAAAAAAACTATTTAAAGGATACGTCCAATTGAACCCTATATTTAATGCATTTTTGTTTATGTAACTAACTGCATGCTTTGGTACAAAAAAAAAATCTTCAAAGTATGTCATTGTTTACTTTGCAAATCTTGCATGGATATGTATATTATTACACAAATAAAATTATTTTTCATTTTTTACCAAAAAATAATAATTAATTTCCACACCTAAAATTTCAGAAAGAAAGGTTTTTAGTTTTTACAAACCTAACGTATACGACAAGAACAAAACGTTAAATTCACAACAAGTAACCACACACAAAAAAAAAACAATTTAAAGAAAAAAATGTAGATAGGAATTATGGTACGTCGCTTGGTTGCTGTATTGAAACAAGAGATGGGCGTTTCTCTGCTGTCTCATCTCAATCCACGACAAGGTTTGTTGGGTTGTCAAGTAATATACAAATCTTCATTAATCAATTTCTTATTATTTTAAACACTCTTTTTTGGTCTGTCAACATACATTCAGTTGAGTAGTTGACAAAAATGCTAAAAAGTTGTCTTAGCCTGAGTATAATGCAACTTAAGTTATACCTTATTAGTACTTATTTATAAAAGAGTTGGGTTTTAAAATTTTAACTTAGTTAAACATGTAGTCTACCAATGTTACTCTTATTTTAATAAGTCTATCTGTTATTTGATACATTTTTTCCATGCTAAGAAAACTGTTTCTAACTTTTTACATGCATATGCCACCAATTACTTTTATTAAG